GGGGGGGGGGGGGTCCAAACTTTGGTTCAGAAAGGACTGTTGGATTCCTTGAGGCAAATTACTTCTCCCCCACACCCCCTCCCACCAGTCGAGGTTGCACGTTATAGTTCCTTGGCAGCTTACCGTTTATTTGGATTCATTAAAAAAATCAGCCAGTTAAAGTGATATACGATTCTGTCTCAAAGTTGTAAGCGTCAGGTTTGATAGGGGGGGGGGTCCGGACCCCCCGGACCCTCCCCCTGGATCCGCCACTGTTCTTTTACTTCTATAAATTCAGCTGCTTAGCCAGCAGGTTGAGACGAGTTTTGTATCAATCAGGATGAATAGTTGCTAATAGTTACACTAACTTTTTGTTTCGGTGTTGCGAAAGCGCCTTTAGTACTAGTTTTGCGTTTTATGTTGCTTTGTTTATGTTTTTGTGGATTTTAGAGACGGCCAATACCAATGGAGAAAAAGAGACCCTGCGCTGGTGTAAAATGAAAAAAATCAGTTACCGAGAAAATGAAAGTCAACTATTGCTACAGGAAGAACCTTAGAGAAAGACGTTATTCGTCTAGACATGAGCGTGCATGGGACAAAGAAAACATTCCAATGAGGAATCAAACCTCAGACCTTCTGATTTCGTGCTCTGATGATCTGATGCTCTGATGCTCTGATGCTCTGATGCTCTGATGCTATGACGCTCTGACGCTCTGACGCTCTGACGCTCTGACGCTCTGACGCTCTGATGCTCTGATGCTCTGATGCTCTGATGTTCTACCATTGAGCCACAGAGACCGTCTGGAGAGCAAGACCCATTACGAAGTTCATATATGACAACGCCGCGTCCTGCATACTGCTAGGGTCGGCAATGTCCATAGCGTCATGTTTTGTAAATAGAGTAAGAAAGATGGTAAGTTTGCTCATGATCAGTGGTGGAGCATCGGAGCGCGGAATCCGAAGGTCTGAGGTCCAATTCTTTATGAATTCTCAGAAGTTTTTCCTTGTCCCACGCTCGAGTAACAAGACGAAAAACATGGTTCACTATTTCTTTACCGAGCTCAAGACTTACCACACCTTTCTTACTCTATTTACAAGGAAGAACCTTGTCAGTAAAATACAACAACAACAAAGGATACAACATTAAGAACATACGCAACATGTTGTGGTCTTTTCCAATCCACTTGAACATGGCATTTGTTGTCCCTAGAGGTAACACGCGAATGGTGTCTTCTTTTCCATAACCTGACAGACAAGCGAACATTTGGTAGTCGGTAAACTGAGATAACTTTCTGCGTTAAAAAGATGAGCGGATTGCTATCGTCTTGCCGAAGAGTAGAGGTTCCCACAGGGAGTCGACCTATGACGTCGGTTCCCTGTGTTTAGCGACCAGTCACTTACGTCATTGGTCGGTTTGCCAAATTCTCAGGAACAAACGCTTTTGTTCTGTAAATCACTTTGCAGACGTCCTATAAGTCAGTGCACTAGTGTCTCCGCTAAAATGGCTTCGCCAACGTCACATTATCCTCTTACCGTATTCCCTGTGATCTTTTGTGTACGTAGAATTCACCAAAACGCACGTGTCTCCTATGCCACCACAAATTCCACAGCGATCTTTTCTTGCTCCAGACTCGATTCCGTGGTCGCAGCTAACAGCCTCGGAGAAGAGCAGAAGCCAATTTCAAAAGCAAGTCACAAGTAGACATGACATGCCGTGACATGACATGACATGTTCATGAAATGTCATGAATGGTATCAAGCATAATCAATTTTAGTGAACTGAGCTTTTTAATTAAAAAAGCCATACGTACTTATACAAATGTAATTTCCAAAAGAAAGACTCGATTTCTGTGCTGTTGACCCAGGATTAGAATTGATAAGGCACGTATATTGCTTCTTCCTTTAAAAACACATACTCGTGCATAATTTTCTATTTCAGGCCTTATTGTCGCTATTGCTCAAATAGCGTCCATTACCGTGAAGATCGCTTTGATATTCATTTCTTAACCCATGGTTCACTTATATGATTTTCATATATTCCCAGTTATTTATTTATCATTTCACGTGCATGTTTATTTAAAACCATCATGATAATAACCAGCTCCCAGTTGGCTTGTTAGCTCAGTTGGTAGAGCACTGCATCGGTATCACCGAGGTCATGGGCTCAACTTCCCGTAGAGGCAATGGTTTTTTTTTAAGGCCCTATTCTAGTTCGCTACTACACAAGTAGTGTTCACTACCGCGAAGATCACTTTGATATTCATATTCACATACTGATTGGTCTTTCAAGGAGCACTCATAACAACACCGTTTACTTATATTAAGAAAATGAGTTCTATAACCAAACCGCGAAAAAACGTTTAATGCGCAATTGAACAATTGCTTTTTTTCCGGGTATTTCACAGAAACGTGGCTGAAACGACTTACTCGACATTTTCCTTCGATACAGACATCACGATTTTCAGGATGATTAGAGCATCGTGTTCCATCAGCCACTGAACCATAAAGTCTTAGTATCCACCCCTCAATGCAGGCAAGCCTACAAGGATCTACACAAATATAAAAATAAACAAAACTGGTATGCAGCGAGAAGCATGAAAATGGCCGTAAAAAGGGATAAAAAAACATTTACAGAGTTAGTCTTTTCAGTCGTCCTCTTTGTTAAGATCCTCAAAGTGCAAATTAAAAGTCGAGGTGTAAAATCAAGTGGCAAGCCATAATAAGATATTTTGAAACTTTATAACTCGATGAAACTAACTTGTTTTTAATTTAAGAAACATTGCAATTCTTTCTCCAATCCCAGTCACATCTTACCTAGAACAAGATCTGAAAGCGAGCTTTGCAATAATGAACACTACTTAGCAAGTAGTGAAAATAAGGCTTGGAAAAAAAATTTTTTTTAGGCCTTATTTTCACTACTACATAAGTAGTAATCATTACTGCCAGGATTGCATACACATATTTCTTAAAACCGCAGTACACATGTATAATTTTCATTTATTCAAATTCATTGATTCATGAGAAAAAAGTTAATGAAATAAAAGGTTTGATTTAAACTTTACTTGAAATGTAATAAGCTCTCCTTTTCGGATGTATATTCATGCACTGTTGATCTCGATAAGAAGGCAAAGGACATTCAACCTCCAGACAATAAGAACTTGAAGTTATTTCATCACAGTGTTTTCTAATTGTGCACTGATTTGGACGGAAAATCGTATACTTCTCAACAAGTGCTTTTTATGTTCTTAACAGACAGATGCAATTACCGACTGTAGAAGTATTATCCGCCACATGTTCTACATTGCTCGTAGAGTTTAACCCTCTAACTCTCTTAGGTGACCAAGATAGAATTTCTCCTTACAATAGCAATGCAATATCAGGTTCATATCAAGGAGAAAAGTGATGAGAATATAGAAAATTAGTATAATTTCAGAGCTGAGGAAAGAGTTTCCAGCAATGTAATTGGTCGAGCGGTTCCTTATATGACGCTATATAAACCGCTCCACGCGGTTTATAAAATGTTAAAATAAAATGTTAATAAATGTTTCTAAAATGTTATGATTTTAGAAATTTCTCTGTTGTTCAGCTCTGAAATTATACTAAAACAATTATTCGCCTCAGGTTCGGTGAATATTGTCGAATAATCCCCTAGACTTCGTCTCGGGGATTATTCGACGATATTCACCTCACCTTCAGCGAATAATTGTTAAATATAAATGTAGGGATTATGTCGATTAATTGACGATCCGATAAAAAATTTTCTAAGGTAGCGTCAAGAATTGTACGGCCGACAGCAAGGAAAATTATTCAAGAGATCTTGGGTGTGAAAGAGTCCGGCAACCTGTAACACGCGTGTCTTTCCAGAAATTTCTCTTAGGGTCTAGGAACCTTTCTTTCTCATGCTCATTGCAAATCAATATTTTCATTGGTCTTTACAGAGTTATACAAAGGGAGTGAAAGAGTTTGCATGGCACGCGAGTCTTTCCAGAAGCTTCTCCTAGAGTCTGGGAACCTTTCTTTCTCATGCTCGTCGCAAATCAATATTTTCATCTGTCTTTACAGAGATAATTATATAATGCATAGCATCTTTATTATTACAGAACATGAGATTAGCCTCAGTTTAAGATTTCTTGTACAAAATTAGAGTTGTTATGATCGAAACAAACCTGCCAGTTGCATATTTTCCATTTCCCTCTTGCAGATCCTGGGCAATTCTCACCCCCATTTTCAGGTCTGCAAAGAAGATTATGTTAATTTTCAAAAAGCCGCGTCAGGTCAGTCAGTCAGTCAGTCTAACATTCCTTCTATCATTCAGTCCGTTGTCAAGCAATCATTCAGTCAATCATTAAGTTTGTCAGTCAGTCAGTTAGTAAGTCAGTCGTGGTCATTCAGTTGGCTGCACCACGAACGCGCTCAGTGTACTATGGAAGCTTATGGACCAGAAGGCAAACGATTCTCCTGTTCAACAAATTTGCTGCGTCAACAAGGCTACAGTTATAACTTATCTTTTAATTGAAAGCCCTGATGCTGAAATGCATCGTTGAATAACATAGAGAATGGCACCACAAAATCTCGACTAAAACACGGAAAGGGAACGTTTTTTAACAGCTTCCTTTGAAAATGAGTCAACTAGAAACAGGCGTAAATCCCTCACGGTGGATTAGTGCAGGCCCTTGTTCTGTGCTGTATTCCTCCTCCGCATGTCCGACTGCAAGGACTGTATTCAGACCACTCCCCCCATCCACCATCAACTCTGGGTAAACCATTGTCAACACAATTGCCCTTTATGCACCACTATGGGATAAAATGGAAGTAAGTTAAGGTATTTTTCAATTAGCTTCCAGAGCTACACGGGATTGGCTGATTGTATTTTACTTCGTTCTAACAGATTGGTCCTACAACTCTCTCAACCAATGAGATGCAAAACTGATCGGAGTTGTTCATTGCTGTATTTAGGATATAAACAAATCAAAAATTCCAGCATTGCTATAAAATAACCGAGCCAACTTTGCATACAATCCTTAGCTATGATAGCTGAAAACGATTCACGTAGGGGTATGTTTTCAGTAGCAAATAACTGATTTCACGTGGCTACTGAAAACATACCCCTACGTTAAAACAAAACAGTACAGTTTTAATATAGCAATTCTAATCCAGTAGTTTCATGACTTTCGTCTTTTTTATTTGTGTTATTGATTGAAACAAGAAAAACCTGGTGTACTGGCTAAAATAGCGACAGGAATACGTCGCTAGAAGTTCAAGTTCACTTTCATGTACATGTTACAAAGAAAGCATAACCCATAATTATATCGATGAAACCAAAGCCAGAGTTACTATTCAATAGAGTGCAGATCAAGTTGACATACATGACGTGGCCCACAGTTTGTACCGTCAGCTGGGGGAGCAAGTTTACTGTTGCAACTACCATATGATCTTTCACAGTACAAAGAGCCACAGTTTGTCTAAAATATAATGAATTAGATTAGCTTCGAAATAAAACTAGGGAACACTTCTTTTTCAAGCAATGGGTATACGTGAAAACCACCTTTATTTCAAACTCACTGACTGGTTGACCTTTGAACTTCTTTAGTTATTACATTTCAGTGTTTAAGTGTTAATATGTCTAAAACTAGGTATCTTATATTTGTATCGCGTCTTTTTGCTATATGGAAAAATTTAATTTAACATAAAGGGCATATAATTAGCTTGTTATGTTATGCCCTTCTCCATCTTCTCATTTGATTCTCATTTGTTGAAATGGAGGAAATAAAAAATACAATACGAATCGTTGTAGGAATCAATGAGTTAAATTCATCTTCTTGTACTATATTACCTCACTGTTTTAGTGTAATTCTAAAGAAACAACTACACTTAAAAATCACTAAAATGAAACACGCATGATTCCCTGATTCCACAGGGAATCATGCGTGTTTCATTTTAGTCATTTTGAACTGTATTTCGCTCTACACTCATGTGTATTAAGCACTTTCCAACAGCATTTGCTACAATTTCCCACAATTAATAAAACAACTATTCACCTTTGTGTCTGTAGCCAGCGGTGGATGTTTACCTCGCCGCCTCGTTGCTTGGTAAATATACACCACCAGCCACCTCCACTTCGGTGACTATTTGTTAAACATTCGGTTTATTTAAATTAAAGGAAGCTGTTGCTCAGTAAATTCATAGAATATTTATTTAAACCTTGCCTTCTCAAATGAACAATGTCGCCATCCAACGCCGTAAAGAAATTCACACTGAGCATCTCCGTCAAACAAAACGCCAGGAAGGTTTCTGTCCGCCTTATCCGAGAGGTTAGATCCAGGCAGGAATATCCTTGGAGGGTCATCCAAGCATTTGGAGCCAGGTCCACTGTATAGAACACATTATGATGTATGAAATGCAGTGGTCCAATAAAAAATCCCCACATAATAGCGAATTTCGAATGAGTGCCCCAAAATCGAGACCAACGTGATAATTGAACGATGAAGTGCATTGGGGGAAAGGTATCAAAAGAGCTAACGGGAACTCACTACGTAAGACTTGAGCTGTGATTCTCCCGAAATGACATCTTCCTTAGTCTTGTTGTGGCTTAGTGCATTTGACGTGAAATTTTCCTCTTATGTAGGTTTTTCTGCTTTAATTATCTATATCATTCCTCACCTGAGAAACTCCTGAAGTACTTTTTGGCTGCATGGTGACCATTTCAAGGCACCTTGTCCTCCCGGCAGAGTAGGAGCCATGATGTTCACGCCAGCGGGGCAGTCGTCGCTCTCATCATGATCTACGCCGATACTGGTGATTGTAATTCAGAATAGAGAAAGATGTTATTCCATTTGTCACGACGGTGTAAGACAAAGAAAACCAGAAACATAAGATGATGGCACCTCGTTAGAGAAAAGGGCAGCTAATTAGTAAGCCTATAAAAGGATCTCTTGTTGCAACGTTTAGATCACCCCTGGTGAAGGCACTAGACAAGAGTGTCGAAACGTTGGGTCTATGAATTGTGATTTGTCCGGTTACATTCATTAAATCCGTAAACCAGAGTAGCATCAAACCATGTCTGAGTGCCTGGGGATGTTGAACCTTACTACCACTCGGTTACATAATGAATTCTCCTTTCGTTGAAGGGCCACAGCTATGCACGTGCATGTATTTTATTTGCATTTCTAGACAATATCTTTTTTAAACTTTCTGTCCGAATTAAAAGGAAAATATTTTTCAATCGGAAGAACATGATTAGGGAGACTGAAAGATCTCTGTAGTAACATGGACCATTATTAGGCTATATGTAACACATGTTCTGCATATTGCTCGGATCAGCAATGTCGTTAGTGCTGTTTGAGTAAATAAAATTACACTTCAGGTTTAGCGATGGAAAAGCTCCCTATGAGGTTTTCATTCTCATTATTTGAGTTTTTAATTTTGTCACACTACCAGAAATTAAAGGACCTGATATCAACCATTTCAAAAAAGGAATCTGCTACTGACAGTGCTCTCTCATTTTGCTTAATCTACTTTCAAGTCTTGGACTCAAGACTGGGCGATCTGATTTTTTTTTAAAAATGACTGATACCCATATCATCAACACACTTGTCAGATTAAAAAAAATATAACTCGCTCACTTGTGTCCAACTTCGTGTGCAATAATCCCGGCTGTTTGCAATCCACTATACGCATTTACATTGCCAGTGACCCTGCTCGCACATACGCCTCCAAATACGGCTAAACCTATTAGAAAACAAGATAATTTAGTTTTATCAACTGAGTTGCTGTTGTAAATCGACCACCGTAAAGAATTTCAAAGCTGGTGCTTCGAGCGTTAGCCCTTCGTTAGAGCGACGAAGAAGGGCTATCGCACGCAGCACCACAGTTTTTTGTAAAAACCTACCCCTACCCCTACCCCTACCCTTACCCCTACCCCTACCCCTATAACTTATTGGGAAAAAACCAGCAGGTAAATTTCAGAACAAGACACATGCGTTCTTCTTGCCATCTAAATAGCTTTTGATTTGCAGATACCCGCATTTACAGGTTATTCATTTCGACGATGAATTTCGAAGTAAATGAAACAACAACAGAGAGGTAAAAAAAATCCTCTTACCTCCAAATCCTCCACTTTCCGTTGAAAACGAATCAGGAAAATATGAAATAGAAGAAAAACCAAACACGAACTCTAATTAAAACCCGGACTCATATAAGAAATGATGAAACTTTATAATTGATCGTTGTGAAAAGGGATGATTTTTTTGGTAAAACAAGATTTTTCCGATTTTCAAAGCATACTAGAAAAAAAAAAAACAAAAAAAAAAACAGAATGCTGGAAAGGGAAAGAGGGCTGGAAAAATTAGTTCCAAAGACTTTATGACCCCAGGTTTCTCTCTAATGATACATGTACATAAAAGTCTAAACTAGCGGAGGTGATGATCATTTTAATTTCGTCATGATTTATTATTAACTCACTGGAAGGAAAGCCCCTGATAAAGGAGAGACAGAAGCAATAAAAGGGAGCAGTTAGCCAAGAGAGCTCGAACTGCTTCAGATTTCCTGTAGCAAAGAGGAAAAAAAAAGGGAACTCTAGGGTGGGTGATCAATATTTTTACATGGCTGCCGCCAAACTATGGAATGATCTTCCCCTTTTTATTAGATATATCTTCTATAAATCGTTTTAAAAAACCTCTTAAAACTGTAAAACCCACTTGTTTTGCATTGTAAATTTTTATTTTTTAGTTCTTATTAACCGAGCGGGAGGTCTGTATGGGAGAATCTGGACCGAGGTCGCCAGTACTGACCGAACGCAGTGAGATCTGTACCAGCCACCGAGGTCAAGATTCTCCCATACAGACCGACCTAGCTCGGTTAATAAGATGTTTATTATATGGCTGTGTCTTATATGCCAATTTTTTACATTCTTTGTACCTTTCTTTACTAGACCGGTCTAGATGCCGGTCTAGATGGGAAAATCTAGACCGCTTTCAATATTGATTTCAGCCAATCAGATTCGTGAATTCGGTAGTTCCCAGTCCTTGTGAGACATAGCCATATAATAAAATTAATTATTAACTGGAATTTGTATTTAGGATTTTAAATAGTAGTGAGTAAAAATTTCATGATTTCTAGAACATTTTAATGCGCAGATGAAAATGTCTCATTGATATCTGCCCAATAGAAGTTAATAAATTATTATTATTAACGTAACACTTACATATGGACGAGTGATGTAACGTCCCAAAACAAGGGATCGCTCTGATTGGCTGGTTTGATTCTGTCTGCCCATTGTCTGATCTTGTCCAATTTATCTTCCGATGAAGAACCCACGCTTACTCCCAGCTAAAAGATATTTTTGCCTCTTGAACAACTGCATCACACCAAATGCAGCTATTAAGTAAGTTTCCTTTATCATCTTGACGAGATGTAGCCTTTTATTATATTTTTGAACCATATATGGTGTTTGTATTTGCAATTGTAAAGTTTCATTTTCTTGGGATTCATAAAGTTTTTGAAGCTTTTTTCATTTATTTTGTATCTTAATATACAAGTAAAGTTTTAAGTTGGAGTTGGTCAGAATTACTGAGAAGTACTTTTAATGAAGCAACCCAATAGCGCCTCTGATCATTGAACTGATGGCGCTGTACTGCATTATGAAAATAAATTTACCTCTTTGTTAGTAATAATGACAAGTCGGCTGACAATATAATTAATTTTAATTTTCCCGATAGAATTGTCGCGGAACATTCCAGAAACCTGTAGAGCATGAAAGTTAGAAAAGGATCAGCAATACGTGAAAAAAAAAAAAAAAGATAGAAAATAGGTTCTTCTTTGCTGCTATACTGACAAGTATCTTGATAACTTTAGGAATGGTTTTTTAATTGACTTTTGTAGCAAAAGTTACTTTAAAGAAGCCAATACAGGTGATTTATACTTTTAAGACAGCATCTTAGGGGCAGCCGGACCAAGGTGTTACCATAGACACGAGTTTGCGTGTTTGGGCTGGATGACCACGTATATTCTTACGGCAAGGTACGGAATTTTTCAAAGGGATACCTTAAGGAGTTTTGAGGGAGTGCTTTTGAAATGATGAAGAAACACGCCTGAGACATTTTGCGTCAAAGAAAAGCTTAGTTGCTTAGAGAAGCGGTTAAGTTACACTCACTATGTTAGCCAAAACTAACAAGAAGTGCGCTGTCTCCTTTCCATGTCTAGCCTCCACATTCTCATCTGCTACCAGCGCAGCCTGCAAGTACTTGTGGGCGAGAAGTTTAGTGTGGGTGGTTTTATTGACTTCGTCGTAATTCTTGCCTGAGTATGCGGAGTTTGAAGCAACTCCTGAAATATTTAGAACATAAAATACATGATAGACTAGAAAATGGCACAAGAGGGAAGCAGGAAAGGATTCCAATAAGTGGAACCAGCACTCACACAAACATTCAAACTGATTTTTGGAATGGAACTGCGTGCCCATTCACGAAACCATCTGCGAAAAAAGTTAGACTCACAATCATTATGACTTCAAATAAACCTTTGCTTCCTATCCCCCCCAAAAAAATTAGATTCGAAAACTAAAGTTTTCAACAAATACACATTAAATATAACGAACTACTGTTGTTGACATGCCGGAGCCTAAAGAGCTCCGCATACCTGATGCACCAAGGCAGTGCATAGACGCTGATGATCTTCTGTAAACAAGGTGCAGCTTAGCGGCATTCCTGATAATCACATGTTTTGCCAGATGATCAGGAAGTGGAGTAATGAAGAGTGTATCATTTGATAGTTTCATCATTCCTGTCTGCACGATGATATGGAGGTTTCAAAAAGGAAAGCAAAAGAAAGTTTATAATTGTTTATTGGATGCTTCGCGGTCTTCTATACATGAACATTACGATGAAACGAGAACAAAACAGAGTAGTAAGATGGTGATGGCTATTAATTGGTTCATTAACCAATGCAGTTACAGCATTTTTTTGCATGTAAGCGCTAAGTGGCATAATTGATTTAAGCTGGATTTATTGTTTGAATAATAATAATAATAATAATAATAATAATATTAATAATGATGATGATGATAGTAAAAACTTTGCATCTATTTAGACTGAAAAGACCATCCACAGCGAAACGCTGGACAATAAAAATGGCACAAAGAAAATAGAGAAGTTATAAAAACAGGAGGCCAGTAATTCCTATGATTTATTTAAATGACCCTAATAAGATTTGTAGCACTGTAAATCTCTCGAAAAATTGTTTTCAATAAATAGACTAAGAAATGCTCCATAGGAATTGTCTGAGAATTGCCTATGCTTGTTGAATTATGTGAGCTGTATAGCGAGGCAAAAAGAAAAACATTAAAAAAGCTGTTATTATAATAATATTATTCCTTACTCAGTAACCACTCACCAGTCCTCTTGCATTGCTTAAAGCCACAAAAGAGTCTGGATCCGAAATTTCTCTTCCATGGAAAAATGAATAAGACTGAACAGGCATCCTTGTGACGTCACCGTTCTCGTGTGGTTTTTCAAGCTCCAGGCCAGGTTTTACCAACTGCGTGTTTCTTGTAAGTTTCAAATGAAGTTTGTTCCCAAACGCATCCGTTTTATAGTACCAATCATGATTCCTCGCGTGAACATCGCGCTTGTGTCTCTCGTGGAGTATGTGTGTCACGAAGTCGCCATCTTGATTTGACTGATAAGGCGCGGTTACCTCATATTCAGGTACTGAGTTATAAAGTTGAACGTTAAAGAAATTGGTAGCGTTCTTCTACATCAAAACTTTGAGAAATTTACTGTCCGGAGGAGATTATTACTTGTTTGTTTGTTTTTTTTTTTGAACGCTCATAACTTCTCTTTATTACAAGTTGATCTTCAAAGGCAATTAAATCATGTTATTATATACAAAAACCCATAAAGGAAACATTGGAGGTCATCCCTATCGGGGACGCTCCCTAAATAAAATATGAAATAAACTGAAGTAAAAATAGAATTGTAAGAATTAGCTTGAGTTCAGCTTATTTTTCCAAACTTCTTTACTTTACTTCGAAATCTTTGTATTAATGAATCAATGTCTTAGCAGTTTTAAAATGAAAGAGGACCCCTACCATCTGCAAAATTCTGGACGCCAAACAACCGCTCTATCTCCATATCTGTCATGTGATGATGAAGGGGCTAAGGAATGGAGGGAAAAGTTATAACATGCAATATCGGCTGAGGTAAATAAGAATAAACCTCTGAAGTCAGATACCATAGGAATTAGACCATTCTTTTGCGCTGCCATCTTTGTGTACGAATACTGAAGAGCATGCAGCTAGGTTGAAGTGTGGCACGTACAGTTCTTGCAATGAACAAAAGGCAGTGGAAGAATACGGCGTACTTGAAGTGCTACTCAAAACTACATATTCAAGAGTAGCAAGGTATTTTTTCGAAGAGGCCTATGCCAAAAAAAGATTTTGCTTGTTCGTGTCATATATTTATAGCTTAAAGAAAATGGTGTAAGTATTGGTTTGTTTGGAAAAAAGATTTCATGTCGAGAACAGTAATATCAATATTACTCCAATTTTGAAGTACCTTTTTTCTTTGTTATATCGCTCTCATTATATAAATTTATTATCCATTTTTTCGGAGACGATTATGTGATACTGAAAGGATATCTTAATGAAGTATTCACGTTTCTAAATTAAGATACATTTTCGAAGATTTTAATCGAATTTTAATGAGGTAATTAACTCAGTTGCAAAACAACCGAACCATATGGGCTGAATATATATGAGAAAAGAAAAGTGCTATAACGACTAAATATTGACGGAAATCTGCAAGAATTTCTAGCTACTTTTATTCATAAAGAGATAATCATAAAGGTATCCAACATGCCTTACCTTTTTGCATTCGGTTAAAGCTGTACCTGCAAATATCTTTGAATATCACTTTTATTGATACTTGGTATGAAGATGTAGAAAATATTTTGAAAATATTGATTTCTTTGCATTTGTAACTGTACATTTTTTATTCCTCCATTTCAAAAATTACAAAGCTTTTGGATAAGAGAAGAGAGAAAGGAAATGGAGAAGGGCATAACATAGCGAGCTAACTAGATGCCCTTTAAGTTAAAATTACATTTTTTCACATGGTAAAACAAAAACGATACAGATATTAGTCTAAGAGAGAGAAAAAAGGAATCACATCTTAAACAACAGAAAAATAAATAATACAGGGTCTAAGAAAAAAGTAATTAATACTGAGAAAAGACATAAAATAGTGATGCCAAACAATGTAACTTGTTATTTTCTATAGATGCAGCATTTTATAAAAACTTTCGTTTCACAGCTAGAGAACGAAGTTAAATAATTCACTACTTGGTGACTTGGTGGAAAACGCTTGCTGAAAAGATTGGCAGTAACATGCCGTGAAATTTCTGGCATATGGACTTTTAGGGCTCATGGTTTACTCTCGCTCTAAGAGAGATATCAACGAAACAAGTAAAACTCGTTTAAATGACCTTACACTTACCAGACATCAAGAAAATGATTGTGGTCAGGTGGCTGGCAGAAAAAATAATCTTTAGAGTGACATGCATATTCATACTGCTGGAGGTGAGGAAAAAAAGGGAGAGAAAACGATTGAAAAATGTTAAGGTTTTTACAATGAAGTGTAAAGGTCAAGTTCATAGGTTATGTATTTCCTATTTTCACCATTACAATGAGAAAAAAGGCGAACGAGCTGGTTTTTTTCAGACACATAAGTGAGACGATCAAATTTTAACTCACACTATTGATCATTTGGGGAGATTAGATAATATTAGAAAGAAACATCGCAGACGGGGCCAAACCTATAACCACTGATATCTGTATCGTTCTTTCCTCTTATAAAGTTATTGTATAATTGAAGATAAAATTTCCCAGTGCCCCAAAATTTAGATATGTCCAGTGTTTAGGTTAGCGCACACGTAAACTCAACCAGATCTCAACACCTTCGTTTAAAAAATTTGTCAGTCTCATCGAGTAAGTTCGTTTGTGAAAATTATCACCGTCAAAAAAATAAAGCTTTCTCCAACTCGCCAACTGAAAGACAAATATTTGCCACCGACCCAAGTTGCACAAGTCTTTCCTCTAAGCATGAGAACTAAAGGCCAGAAAAAGAATAATGATATATAACCATCATTCGACCTCACCTCTCTTAAGGTTCCCACTCAGCATGCTTCAACAAAGTGGTGCCCTAGATTTGATCCTTCTGATCTATTTGACCATCTTATTATTCAAAGGTTTTATCTACCCATCTAAAGTATACAACTAACTAATGACGACTTTGACAATAGTCGTCATTACTGCTGTCAGACTGGCAGGTGTAAGAGTCGCCTTTTAGTTACCTGAATTAGATTATCTGTCCATCGAATACGCAAGGGGCTAAAAAATTGGGGAAAATTGAACACTCCTGTAGGAAGAAAGCTGCTATGGGTCGGGCAATAAAGAATTAAAAGGAACTTCTTTTCACGAAAGTGAATTAATCATGAATCAAGATGTATGTATCTACATAACATGATTTGATTTGAAATCTCTCACCTAAATCCATCTAAACCTGAAGTGATTAAAACAAAAATTCATCATTTGTACGAGGGTCTCAGTGAGGTTAACCGTTGGCCGTAAAACGGGAAAAAATTTAGCCATGAGGCGTAAAAATCGGTAAATCATAACCTTTTAACTCTTTTTGATAACCCGGCGTAAGGGAGAGAAATAAACGTTTCAATGTAAAATGGCCAAAATGTTACCCCAGTGAGACCTTCTGCTTTGATTCTGCTGGAAGATATGTGGAGATCATGAATTTATCATTACATCTTACGTACACGAAATACTAGTGGATGTTTCAAGAAGCACGGAAGAAGTTGTAAGTCACAAACGCTTTTTATTCATCTCCTTTTGTTGTCTATCTGAATCACTTTAATTAGTCCGCTAAATTGTTCAGAAGTCACCTATTCAGCTGTTTTCGACTCCCTTTTTTATCATTAAGGAAAGCTGTATTACGTAACCCATAGGGCATTTGTACAGCCTTCCCCTGGCAGCTTTTTTTATGGTACGCTTTCGCCATAAGTCGAACCGTTTTCCAATTTTTTCCTTGGTTTACTGCCTTCAGCAGTTCCTCTTTTTCTTAGTGGCCCTTGAGGTCTTCAACTATTTCGCCCAGCATCGTAGCAAATGTGAGTTCAGTTTATGCCCTGTATAATTTTCTTCGTTATTTCGACAGTTTAGTTATTCACTTTGTAATAAAGTTAGAGGTTCCATGTTTGAACCGCTCCTGCAGATGATCCGCACCCTGATTTTGGCGACACAAATTTGGGAAAAATGGTTTTTGAAAAGAAATCGAAAGAAATCAGAAGCAGAGTCTTGAGAAAGTTGCTCGATCCGGCTATTTTGGTTGCTTGGTCGAACGTACACCCACCTAGACTCCTAACATTAAACAAACCAAGACAGCAACAGCCAAGAGAACGTGGCAAAACAAAGAATCTAATTGGCAGAACGAAAGCTCAGGACGTGCATTTTAAAACTTTGTACATTTCTTAGCCGTCCTTAACAAAACAACAAAGTTAAATCACCAAAATTTCCGTGGTCTGAAACAGAAACCCCGAAGTCGAATTATCTAAGTTTCAATTTGGAACTCAACGCTGTTTACATACGTTATGTTGAACTTGGCGTGTGGCGCTCTAAGAGACAGTAAACACATCCAATCATTCGCCAGATTCTAATAATAATAATGATTCCTTTGTTAATCGATGTCTTTCTCGGCGTTGCCGTACTGACTGCTTAGGGTCTCTATTGAAAACGGATTATACTTTGAATCCTTATCTGATTATTTGTTGTAACAGCATGGGTCGACATCATTTCTACAGACACATACTTAAACTTCAATAATCAATACTACGTTCATTTTAATAGGTTTTCTGTAAAAAGAAACTTTTCCCTCATTCGATCAAAGGGGCTGAAATAATAACTAATGCGAAAAAAATGGATCAATAATCGTTTTAGCTTTTTCCCTACAATTTTAGGGAAAGGGCTGCTTAAATGAAGTAATATATTCCATGAAACGGTATAGCACCTGCAAACAGTAAATGGCATTTTTGGACAGTTTTTGATCGCATCACAATTTGATGTCATATGGAGCAGTATGTGTAAACTTTGTGCTAAAAAAACAAATAATACAAAGAGATTTTATATTAAAACTTCCCTCTAAATGAAAGAAAATGATGGTAAAGTTATCTTCGAACGGACGGATTCGAAAAAAAACGTATCGATATAGAGATTCTTCATCTCTTGATCTTTAAAGGTTTTCTGTATTACGTAAGTCAAACAGAGATACTTGCCCTGACTTTTGGTAATCTAAGATGCACGATATTTTAAACATAAGTGACACCTCAAGTTAGCTTTTGCATTTTGTTCGTCAACAGAATGACTTAATTGGCAGAGATCCCTTGACGGCAGCACAAAAAGGTGTTACACTAATTTCGAACAAAACCGGTTTAGTATCCACAAGCTGGTATGAATAAGCAATTTGAAAGGGCTCCGCTTTCAGACTGTACGACAAAAATAGGGAGCTGAAGTTTCCAACGAGACAACCATTGCTGTATACTCTGCCGCGGGAAAAATACTTGATCTTCTGACACCGCAAGTAACAGCAACATGTCTAACTCATCATCCGCAGTGGACTTGAAGTTCTTCCTTTGCACACAGCTCGCTACAGGCATCTGTCCGACGATTCTCTCACCCTTAACAATCATGAGCAACGCTTTACTACTTTTCACCATCTTCAAGGATCCTCTGAAGTGCTTCCGTACACCAGCTACCTACTTTATCGTCGCTTTATCTGTTGTAGACCTTATGACAGGCCTGTTCGTTGAGCCTTTTTGTGTCCTTTATCGCTTTGTACTCTATGCAACATGGTCCAATATCATAAGAGAGCCGTACTACACGTTGCAACAAATTGGAATATGGCTTTCCTGTGTTGGGCTAAATGCATCATTTTTACTTGTCCTCGGTCTTATTGCCACGCAGTACCTGGCGATAACATACCCACATCACTATCGTTCAATCGTCACAACACGACGGGTCCTCGCTTGTATTGTCTGCTGTGTCGGGTATTTAACAGGTTTTATCCTACTGCAATTCGTTGTATCACCACTGACCCTATTGCAAGTGGACCTTCACCTCCACTCCACAGTTATAACAATCCTGCTTATCTTCAGTTCAGCGATGCTCTTGAAGTCATTTCACCAATTCGCTAAACAATCTCGTCGACTCGCAGGTGGGAACAGCATCGAACAACGCACCATCCGTGAACGCGGGAACAAGCTGCTAACAAACAGGATCAGCGAAAGGCAGTTTACCATTGTGACTTTATTTCTGGCAGGAATACTTATTGTGTGTTCCCTTCCTCATATTACTACAATTCATATCAGATTCTACACGAAAATCGAAACGCGACAAGAGTGGCTTGACTTGTTTGCTGTAATCACAATTGGGGACGAGATGATGTTTGTGAAGGTGGCTTTAGACGCGTTCATCTACGCCTGGAGACTAAAGAAATATAGAAGGTCGTTGAAAATGGTACTGTGTTGCTGCGCCAATACAGTCGAATCTGAGATAACTGTTTCGAGGACCATGGACAATTTTACCTTTCAAAGTGCAAACCCTGTGACGTCGTCGACTCATGCTAGAAGTTTTAGTGCAAATTAGCTTTGATCAAAGCTTTCCTTGGTTGTTAATTGGGGACCTTAGGCAGACCACGAAGGCGACGGCAACGAGAACGTGGAAAAACAAAAGATCTAATGAGCAGAACAATAGCTCAGCACGTCATGACTGCTTAAGGTCCCTAATAAAAGCAAGGGCGTTTTGTAATAGTTAAAAAATGGTGACGAACGATCTCATAGCGAGCAGCCTCTTCAGCGAAAAGTCCTACGAGAAATCTCGCTATTTTAAAACTAATATAAAAACTCTGGATGTTCATTTTAACGTCTGTTATCTGCTCCACTCAACAGACATCTTTTTTAAACTCCCAAGATTTTAGCCAGCACCCTTAACTTAAAAAACCATTGTTTGATTCAAAGATAGCAGAAAATAGAATCGAATCTGGAGATACTAAAATTGTTTGTACAAAGTTTTCCCACGTTTCTTTTGAACGTAACAACTTTTTAGGTAAAGCGAATCCTTAGAGTTTTTTCTTTATTCTCAGATGATATAGCTGTTAGCTGACAGCCGAAAAACCTTCAATTCTAAATTTGGTTGCTATAAGCATTTGTTTGTTCTAATTATGGGAGTCAGTTGCGATAACTTGTGGTCAGGAATTTGCGTAGTTTTTTGTATTAACCCGCCGAAAGATTAAGCGAGTTGATGAGAATTTTACTAACGCCTTTCGAAGAAGAAGGTGATACTCTATTATTTTCTAGAGGCATACATTCAACGAGTTCTGAATCAGATGTTTATCCAGCCAGACAGGTGAGGATGGTACAAAATGCAAACGTATTATTGACACTGAAAGCTCACGAGAGTTACACAGCATGATTCTTCTTTGCCCTACTCCCTTCTTTCTTTACCACCACTATAAAAATTTCTCTCACGGTACCGTCATTCGCTAGAGCTAGTAATGGGAACATGGAAAAGCTTAAGCTAAAATTTCCCAAGTTATGATGGAAAATTCAAAACTTACGTGTAACCTGATATGAAAATTGGTAGTTGGTAGCAATGAAAGCTGTTTTGAATAGTCAGTTTCGACTTTTGACTTGCCATATTGATTCAGTAACCGTTCCTTTTGAAACATGGAAGGCAAATCGTCCTCGATTGACGAGCTTAGAAAAGCTTGTTTCAATTGACACCAAAAAGACCGTATAAGGAAAGGCGGAAAGAAAACATACTTTTAATAACGACAGCAAACAGCATGTGTTTAATGTGACAGCTGTCACTGAAAATTAGGGACCTGAAGCAAACCATGACGGCGACGGTAAAGAGGACGCGGTGAAACAAAAAGATGTAATGGGTGGAATAGCCAGCACATGCGTTTTAGAACTTTGAACATTTCTTAGCCGTACTCTGCAAAGTAACAACGTCAAATCACCAAAATTTGCGTCGTCTGCAAATGGAAACCGCGACGGCAAATCATTTTAGTTTCCATTTGCAACTCAAAGGTGCTTATATGCGTTATTCTGAAAGTGAAGTGTGACGCCGAAAGAGACGATAAACACATGCAGCCATTTTCAAAATTCTAACTGAAAATAGAAATTCATTTTTTAATCGACGCCTACCTTAGCGTTGCAGTCCTGACTGCTTAAAGGTCCCTAAGGAAAGTCAGTTGACGCAATTCATACCTCGTCTGAATCCGAGTATACTTGGTTCGTAAAAACGTCAAAAATTTGGAAACATGGCTTCAAAGGTAGAAATTTCAAACAGGGGGAAACTAGTTCCGCTTCGTATGCTTTTTAACAAAACTACTTAACGATGTAAATAGATTTTTCTTAAACAATATCGAATATTTTTCTAGTCCTAATGATGACCAAGAAGGAAAATCAGGCCCCCTTTGTTATGCCCCAATCTTTGTAACTTCTCGCTTTACACGGTATTGGCTCCAGTCCTTTCTTGTGTATTCGTCCTTCTGAAAGCGCCACACAGATCTGTCAATAAATAGGATACTTTGGTTTCCAATGGTTTCCAATGGCGGTCCCAGTGAAATTTCCTATTCCTTTCGACTTCCACGTCAAGTACTTGTTATACTCTTTCTCATTCGTGCTAAGTTTCTTAAGATAAGCTGAAAGGTCTTTTGGAGTCTTGAAGTCACGGACTTTAATGACGGATTGTCCAAGATTGCCGGGCAGGAACTCGTCTAGTTTATCTGTACTCATTACCACGGGAACCGAGCCTGCATTCAGAGCATGGCTTAATTGATCATCGACAAAATAGTCACAGTCCTGGTTAAAAAATACCAGTAAAAATTTGTATTGTCTGGCTAAATCACTCTTCAATTCTTTGAAGTTTTTTCCTTTCTTAGATCCATATCGGCCCACAAGATCATTTTTGTTCCTTAGACAGGCTCCATAAGAATCGACCTGCACAAACTTCATCAATTGTCTCATGTATTCCGTCCGCACAGCCTCACAATTTGAAAATGCTGCCATAATCAATTTCGTTTTTTCCTTAAATGGGAGTGGTGGTGTTAATTTAGGCATGGGAACGACTGGGACGGGGAAATCGTAGTCTAAGCGGTAACTCATTAATAAGTTAAATCTGGACATAAACTTGGCGTTTTTCATCACAGGAGTGTACACCGGGTTTTCTTGTGTGTAAAGGATCCATGGTACAGATTCATTCGGAGGTATCATGTTTGAATCCCTAGCATGAACCACGAACCCGTGTGCCTCTCTGGCTCGCGAACGGTTAGACGTGACCTGACAAGCCACAGGGCAGTCACCTTCATTCCACCTATGCTCAATGTGCGGCTGACGTCCGAAAATAGTCGTCCAGAAAACAATTAACCACGGTTCTGTTTTGATGGAGTTCTTCGTTTGGGGAATTATAGCATGCTTTGGGGGCATAAACGTAACTCTTGGTGCAGAATATTTTCTTTCGAACTGCCATAAAAAAACAATTGCTGGAAAGACGAGAAAAAATAGAGCTTTTGAGCCAAAGGACTTCTCCACCATCGTTGACCCCAATAAAGGTTTTGGTAATAACCTGTCAAAAAAACAAATTTACACGGTAATATTTTGGCGTGCTTTCAAGCCGTCACAATCAAGTTGTCTTCAACGACTTACAAACAACCATACAAGCCTGTTAGTCAGGGTGTTTTAGAAGCGCATAACGTTTTTTGGCAAAGCTTTAAACGGAACTGTAGATCACCAGGATACCTGTAAATAACCTACTTTGTGTTCGAAAAGTCTAGAGTTTTCCCTTCCCTTGCTTTTGTTTCCTTTTACAAATTTCAATGAACGTTTCAAATTTTTCTTGCTTTTTCAAGCGAGACTGCGGTGGTTTCTAATTTTTTTCTTTTGAAATTTTGCGCGGGAAATTAGCACGCGGACGGTCATGCTTGATCTCCTTGCGCATGCCCCACAGTTGACTGTGTTAGTTTTCTTCTACTTGCGTCTGATAACAAACACGCAAGTTTTCTGCCTCGGAACAATATCCTTCAGAATGCATTTAATGCGACCGCAAGTTTATTTGACTGACCGAAATTGAAGATATGCGGCAGCGACCTCAACGAGCTTTCTTTGGTCAGAAAAGCAAACTTTATTTTCGTCTGCTGAGTGTTGGAGATCGATCCAGCCGCTTATGTTTACATAATTGATGGGATAATCTAATTTAATCAATCAGCCAATAAACTTTAACTGCATTTACGGTTCTTGTTTTACCAGCAGATCGAAGTGCGTCACAGTGTTAGGTCTGTGCTTGAATTCGATTTTTGTTTAGATTCAATGGAAAGCTGGCATTTAGAGCAACGATGCTGAGTACAAACTGCAACCAATCCCGTTATCGTTTTTTGCTGTTTCTATTCCAATATGGCGTCGAACTTGGGCGAGTTTGGGCTGACAAATTCCCACGGTCTTTATTCCTTAGTGCATATCAGAGTCCCCACATAAAACTCACGAGTTAAAAATTGGCTGCTAAAATTGCCGCGGATGTCGTCAATATGGTGACCTGAGTTGAGCACGTGGCCAACTCTCTTTCTAATTTCTTATGCAATAACAACTTATTATACGAGCTGCGATCAGCCATTAGGTCAGGAAACAGCCCTGATCAGACTTACGTATCAGACTCTAGTGAACATGGACAATGACGAAGTGACCGGTCTGGTTTTTATAGATATCCGAAAAACTTTTCAGTGATGTAATTGATCAGGAACTTCTGAAAAAGCTGTCGATCTACGGTCCTACTGCTTCTTCTGTTGCCTGGTTCAAATCCTACCCGTCTGGGAGGAAGCAGTTTATTTCGTTAGGGAAAACTACGTCTGAACAGCTGACAGTAAAGCAAGGTGTGCCCCAAGAGTCAATTCTAAGTCCGGTGCTTTTCCTTTTGGTTAATTTGTCAACGATATGCCCACTTGCGTTCAAAAGTCAACTAGGGACATTTATGCGGACAACACCACCTGGTCTTCGAGTTCAAAGTGGAAAACGATACCTCCGCTAATTCAAACATTGTCACAGGACCTGAGTGAAGTAGGGGATGGCCTAGAGAAAACAAAATGTATGTTGGTAACGGGGAAGCGTCTACGGAAGCGCATGGTCCAAGATACTGAAAACCTGGAAGTTAGAACGGATAACGCACAACTTGAAAAAGTCGTAAACCATAAACTTCTTGAAATGATTATTGATGAAGATCTAACTTACAAAGTGCATGTCGATGAGCTTTGCAACAAACTTTCGAAGCGACTTGGCCTTTTACGTCATATTAGCCCCTACTTAAAGAGAAACCAGAGAATAATCTATTTTAACGCAGTAGTAAAACCAGTTATGATGCATCATAATAAAAGTCCGGTATGGACATCATGCAACAAAGAGGCACTCGAGAGAGTTCTCCGTTTGCAGAAACGGGCCACACTTATTATTCTTGAAGCACAACGCAGTAGTCGAACTATAACATTGTTTAACAACCTAAGCTGGATCCCCTTTTATAATGAAGTGTATATAAAGCGATGTGAACTGGCCCATAAACGGCTAAACGGTACTCTACCCGACTATTTAAACGCATCTTCAAGAAAAAACTCCGATGCTCACTCAAGAATCACCAGAAACTGTGAAAAATTACTATGCCTCCTTCAGAGAAACTTCTCGGAGGGAGGACGCACCTTTACCGTGAGAACTATAAAGGATTGGAACAATTTGCCTCGATCACTAAAGACAAAGAAGTCTTTGAAATCCTTTAAAACTGAATTATGGAAAATAGTACTACATTCTAAGAAGACTAAGGGATCGTTTGATAAAAAGTAACGACAATAGATAGATGTTTGTATGCTCTTCGTTTTAAATCCTTTTGTCCAGTTATCAAATTCTAGAAATATTTTTATATTTATTTTCTATCGTAAACAGTATCTATTGCTAATGTAGTTATGGTTATTTGTATTTTGTATTTTTTTAGAGGGCTACAAGTTCATCAGTAATGTTAGTTACTGTTATATGTCCCCCTCATAAAATAAAGTCTCTTCTTCTTCAGTGGTCATATGGCAAGCTGTTACGTTTTAAGGGTTAGAGTTTTCGGTACTCAGGGACATTAAAATTTGCATACAATACTACCCATAATTCTTCGTTTTCCAGTATCGGTCGCCTTTTATGTGTTGGGTTGTCACGTAAACCAGCTTCAAACACAAGACACGGCGACGGTGACGATGTCGGGCAAAGGGGTCAAAGTTTGGCCGGCCGCGCGCCAATTTCCCGCGGAAAAACTTTAAAGGAAACATGAGAAACAACCGCTGCCATGTAAAATATATGCAAAAATTTAAATTTCAGAGACACCTGGAAGGAAAGAGAAGTGGGGAAAAGGGAAACTCTACACTTTTCGAATAAAGAGCTTATTTTAATCATGGGTATCTTGTTAATTTTCCATTTAGTTTTGAGCTTTACCAAAGACAATGTAGTGCCGGTTGTCACTGTCACACATCATCATAACCATTCAACAAATCAAGTAAAAAATTACAGAGATAAAAGTAGGTGAATATTCAAACAGTCTCGCAAATATCCAGGTCTGTGTGATGTTTCGTGCGGGAGATATTCGAAGCAATATGTTACTCAAATTTACATGGCTTTGTATGAAGACGTCATGTTTGTGTCCCTCCGAGGCACATCAATATGGAGGCCAGAAGCTGACAAAAACATACGTCAGCGAGTTTGTTATAAAAAGCCTGTTTTCGTCTTCCGGAGTTCATAAATAACTTTCCAGTACTTATTCTCAAACAAGGACTCTTTAGGTTGCAAAGTCTCGGCGAATAAGTAAGTTTTTACTCGGGCTTCCGAAGGAAACGCCCGAGGTATAAATTTGGCTGTCTTTTTTTTTTTTTTGCGTTCAGTCACAAAACGCAGTTCCACTACAGCGCATGCGCAAATTGTACGCGCACGCGTAGAATGAACCCTAGAGTGTATAATTAAAGCAAGAAAGCAATGGCTGCCTTCGTGGACAATTCCGTGATGTACCCGAAAGAAATTCGATGGCTTTTACGCCCAATGTATATACAAAGTCACACACCGTTCGCGGTAGAACCGCAATAAAACTTGTGTAGCGGTTTGTGAACGGCTCGTTCCGCGAACTTAAAGAGAGATCAATTTACGAGCGATCCTTTACGAGTGAACGTTTTATCGAGAAATATCAAGCGAAACCTGCTATATCAAACGAGTTATGTCATATTATGTTTACATGTAAACACAACCGTCTATTTAGACGTGATCGGGAACCCAGTAGAATACCAGAAGCTACTATGAAACGTCTCAGAAGAAAGGGCAGAAAACTGAAGGAATTTGGTTATGAGCGTATTCGTCCAAGCATACCAAGGTCCTCTTGGCTACGTCGTTATGTGAAGGTTAGAAGAGTTACAAGAATATTTGTAAGCTTAATACGAAGAGGGTACGATCACATAAAGTTACAAAACATGATAAGAAGTATTTGCTGAATTGTTCAGTGAGGGTATGTTAGAGGATAATGAAATTGAAGTATAGAGCAAGGTGGTATTTATCAATGTTTCCTTGTAATAGACCCTTGTGTCTTTATCAGAGTCAGACACACGCATCAAACTTTTGTAAATTTCAACTGAGTTCAGATATCGAGAAAAGTCCTGGTCCTAATCCAATGTACATTGACCCTAGCAAAACAATAATGGCACCATATAGCCAAGCTAGTGAGTTGATATTTGGACAAAATTCAAGGCAACAATGTGTTGCAATGAGTTTATGCTCCTTGATTTACTATAAAAAACAAGGAATCAATTCTGCTAATGATCTCATGTCCATGATGAGTATTGGAAATCAGTTGTATTCATGTTTGTCTCGGTTAACCAGACAATTATTTTTAATGCAGACAGAATTACCCACACTTTTAAATGTGTTAGAGACTAATTATGAACTTCAATACAGTGAGAGCTACACCGGTACTATTCATCAAGAAACTACAATAGAAGGATATCAGTACTGTACCTCCTTAGAGAGAGCCTTTCAATCACTTATATCTGAAAATTGCAAGAATTTTGTCGATGCCTGTGCAACCAGAAAGTTCAATGTGAGTTGTGCTGTGGCTGTTTATTCACTCTGCTACCCTACACTAAAGCCACTTAGTTATTGGAATTCAAACCACTTATCTAATGTTATTCAGTATGGCAAAAGATTATAAGAAAATTCATCTTTAAACAAGTATTCCCTGTAATAGTCTGGGAGCAAATGTCATAAAATAAGGTCCCGTATGAAGTTCGTGCTGAAAGCAAGCACCTAGTGCAAAAGTGTTCATTAGGTCCTACTTAACGTGAAAAGTTTTGGTGCCAGCTTTGCCACTTGCTCAGACGGCTTTTAAGGGGGGGTTAAATTCTGACCGATGAAATCCAGCGTGAAAACGAGGCTAAAACACATAATTCCTCATAACTTTGTTAATTACGGACGAAAATACACCAAACTTGCTCACATGATTGGGCATGATCCTCCCTGTTGATTTATGCTAATTTATATAGGTCACGTGATCTTACGCATGAAAGCGAGATTGAA